ATATATATTTGAATCTAAACTGGTTTTTGATTACTCAGATTATATATATATATATATATTTGAATCTAAACTGGTTTTTGATTTTTGATTTATATATATATATATATCAATGAGGGCTAACAAACAAACAACATTGCAGAGTAAGATTGCAGAGTAAAGAACAAGGGCCTGAACTAACAAACAAACAACATTGCAGAGTAAAGAACAAAAAAATAGAGATTAGCGAGAGAAAAAGAAAAAAAAACAAAGAGAGAGAGAGAGAGAGAGAGAGAGAGATCAGCGAAGCGAAAGAGAAAAGAGCAGAAAGAGCGAGAGAGTCACGTACCGAAGTGACGAGTCGACAACGACGAGTAGGCGCTGATCGAAAAGGGAAGGAGACAACGGCGGCGGCGGTGGTGAGGAGAGACTACAGTGGTGGTGAGCCAATCGACGAGGTGAGGAATGAGACCAAAAGACAACGACGATGAATCGACATGAATGAATGAGATGAAATATGTGGGTCAATTAGGTTTAGTTGAAGAATTATTGTGTGCGCGAGTATTTGTGTGATGGATGTGTATGTGTGTAATCTATGGCTGAAATTTCATGCTGTGCGTGTGGTGTAGCACATGATTTTTTTTTCATCAGAGGTAGGTCGAGTCGGTTAGAACCGTGGGTTGGCAAATTTTCACCCGCCACCCGCGCCGACCCGCCAGAGTTAGAACCTCAACCCGCCTAACCTGCCCGCCATAGTTCAAAAAATGCGTGGTTCTGAGCGGTTTTGGCAGTTTTGGCAGTATTATGCACACCCCTAACTGTAACAGTTGGTGCAATGTGGAGGGAAGAGCCCTCATTGCATGCAACCATGGCCTCCCCAAGATAACATTGTAAGGGGAGGGGTTGTTAATTACTGTGAACTCTGTCCTTACCTTTTTGGTGCCTGTCTATACCTCCAAATTTATTGCTTCCAAGGGCTATGTCAGTGTTCCATTGAACCCGACCATAGGGCTGTTAGACAGCTCCAAATTATCTCGGCGAAAGCCGAGCCCCTTGTAACATCTAACATACATGATGTCACAAAAGCTGCCTTGGTCGATCAAAATGCGCCTTATCTGGTACTCTTTAATTTTGAGGGTTACTACCAAAGCATCGTTGTGTGGATACTGCACCATGTCTAGGTCTGTTTCAGTAAAGAACACCATTAGTCCCTGGCTCTAGTTTGTCCTAAGCCTCTTTTGTTGGACCTAATATACATGTTGTAAGTGTTTCACCCTCTGAGTCTCCCCACATACCTCGTTCTCATTGACCCTCGAGTGAATCCCATTAATCACCCGAGGTCCATCTGCTTGCTGTGGTTGTGTTGGAGGTGGCGCTGCCGATAGCTGGGGCAGTCTCACTTGTTCTTCTCTCGTTTGGGCCTCATCTACTAGATCTCTTAAGTAACCTTGTTTTATCAGGTCCTCCAAATGTGTTTTTAGGGCTCTGCACCCCTGAGTCAAGTGCCTATCCTCATTGTGGTAAGCACAGTACTTCCCAAGACTTTTTTCCATAAATTCGCCAAGAATCTTCTCTGGCGCTCTATAATACGGTTGGTTTCTGATCGTTTCTAGAACTTTATAATCGGGATTTAGAACACAGTGGTGACTGCCTGTGCAATCCTCAGCCCAGTTTCTTGTTTATTAAATCCATTATTACCTCTGCCTCGCTTCGGCGAGCCGTTTCTCTTTTCCTGCTTTTGGTGTCTTTGCCCTCAGCGTATCCTCTTCTACTCTGGTATATTTCTCGATCCTTGCCATGAACTCCACCATAGTCTTTGGCAGAGTCTTTGCCAGTGACTTTCGAAGCATGCAATCATCCTCCAGGCCGTTTTTATGAGATACAACCACCAACTCTTGGTTACATCCCGGTATTCAGTTGAACACCTCATAATACCTTTTGGCATAAGCCCTAAGGCTTTCACCCTCGCTAAGTATAATCGGGATTTAGAACACAGTGGTGACTGCCTGTGCAATCCTCAGCCCAGTTTCTTGTTTATTAAATCCATTATTACCTCTGCCTCGCTTCGGCGAGCCGTTTCTCTTTTCCTGCTTTTGGTGTCTTTGCCCTCAGCGTATCCTCTTCTACTCTGGTATATTTCTCGATCCTTGCCATGAACTCCACCATAGTCTTTGGCAGAGTCTTTGCCAGTGACTTTCGAAGCATGCAATCATCCTCCAGGCCGTTTTTATGAGATACAACCACCAACTCTTGGTTACATCCCGGTATTCAGTTGAACACCTCATAATACCTTTTGGCATAAGCCCTAAGGCTTTCACCCTCGCTAATTTTCAAAGCCAACAAGGAGTCTACCCTTAATGGTTGTAACTTGTTCGTGACAAACCTGGCCACAAACATCTTGGCCAGGTCTTCCCAACTCTTCACAGTTCTTTTCGGCAACTTGTGAAACCAATCCGAAGTAATTTTCCCAAACGATGAGGGGAACACCTTGCACAGCAACGGTTCGTTCCCAGTATATAAGGCCATTGAATTCAGGTATAAGCCGATGTGAGAGTTCGGATCTGACTTACCGTCATATATCTGGAACCTCGGCATATGGAACCTTTTGGGGGCTTCAAACCTATCCAGCTCTATTGAAAATGGCGTTCTCGGCTTGACGGGTGATGTGACCTTGGCATTCTGCCGCTTCCTCTAGAGGTAGTCCCTCAAATTCTCCTTAGTTCGACTAGGAACTCAGCTGTCAACGGATTTCAACCTCTTTGGTGCGCTGCTCATGGTGTTGTTATGCATCCTCTTGGATTTCTCTTCATTCAGCGTGTCAAAACAAAGTTCATTCCCTTGAACATGCCGAGGTTCCTTGGCATAAGTTCCCTTGGTACGAGGCGTCCTCTTGAGACTCTCTCTCATTGACTCTGCCTGCCCGACATCCCGTGAAGGCCGATGTGAGCGTTCTTTCACCTTGTCATGCTGAGGGACTGCTGGAATTGTTTTCTGCCTCCCTTTCTGGGCGTCGTTCATGGCCGCTGGAATCGGCATGTCCTTTAATGGAAATGGTGGCTGCATGACATTATTCTGCATGATGAAGTTGACAACCGATTGTAAGTCTGCCAACTTATTTGCTATTCATTTCATATCGCCGTCCCTTCTCAGGCATTTATCTTTCCATACCTGGAGGTCGCTTTCGTTGTAATACTTGTCTCGGCCTACTTTCTTCGGTATGTCTCCTTCGTGGCCGACGTCTTTTTCCTTGGGATTTTGATCTCGTGTTCCTTTGTTATGGTTTTCTTCCTCCATGTTTGGATCGATATGCTTACCACTCCCACTAGGGATATCGTCCCCGATCTTTTCTTTCTGTCTGTCGTTGGTCATCTATTTTCTTTATGTTCCCACAGACGGTACCAAATTGTGGGTGTTGATTTCCGACCACACAACCAAAGGGGAAACTCAACTGGAGAGCACTGGCAGAATAGATTAAGCCCAAAAACCTCCACAAGAATATGAGAATCCGGTGGTGGTTTGTCCACTCGGGGGCACTCTAACGATCAAGTCAGTAATCGAATATCTCTCACAAATAGCAAATTGTACTTAATTCACAATAAATAACAGTATCTCGCATCTCAAAAACATATCTTAGACTCACAAGAGTGCCTTACTTTTATATCCAACACTGAGCCTGATCCCTACTGTAATAACCCACATTCATGTCTTAGTCATGTTCATGTACATTGCATGATTTTGTCATGTTAAGCTTGCATTTGCAGACTTTGACTTGTTTTGCCTAAGTAAAGGTACCAGTCTTGTTTTGTGCTTATGTGATTTGCCTAAGTGTTGTATGCATGTTTTGTAAGTCGGCCTTCAGTAATCTCGGATTACTGGCCATCACGGCACCAAACTACTAGGGGCGGTTTGGGGGCGTGACACCTACAGAAGCCTTACTTAAGTGGACATAGGCTCAATGTTTATCCTGAACTCTCAGATAGATAAAGATAAACTCCCTAAGAGTTTTATCTTTTTCTAGACTGAGATCATCTCCCATTCTAGGACTCTTATCCCTTATCTGCTTATCTCAGATTTCGGTATCTTCACAGATAACCTCGACCTAGCCGAGATCACTTCGATGTATGACTAGGCCACGTGACACCTCGGTTGACACTTCGTTGTCACCTTAGTCACGTGCTGTTATTCACAAAACATGTTCCCACAAATAATTATATAAACATTATATCAGACTTGTCCATTATAACAGTTTAACTCAAAAATAAAAATTAAAAAAATAAAAATTTCCAACAACTTGCAAAAAGGGCCTGGCTTTGGTCCAGTCCACCATCGGACTGGACCGAGCTGTTGGGCCCTTGGGGGCCCACCACGGGTCCCTTTTTGAAAATCTGAACCGTTCAATGTGTAAAACTCGTCAAGTACTATATGCCTGTGAAAAATCACGTTGATCGGATATCGATAGCTATGTGATCAAGACAATTTTTTATCAACCGTTAATTTATTCACCGTCTATTTTTTTTTTAATACAAAACTGATTTGATTACATAACTATCGATATCCGATCAACGTGATTTTTCACAGGCATATAGTACTCGACGAGTTCTACACATTGAACGGTTCAGATTTTCAAAACGAAATCCGTAGTGAGCCCCCACAGATCCAACAGTATGATCCAATCCGATAGCGGACTAGACCAAAGCCAGACCCTTGCAAAAAATAGGCTTCTTAAAAATGGCATTTGTGACGACTCAAAGGGAGTGTTTTTTCAGTTGGGAAAGTCTGCTAACCAGACTTGTCCATTCAAAAAAATTTGGATGAATAATTATGTGGTGAGATTAATTTGTATAGTATGAAATTCATGTGAGATGCGGGAAAAATTAATTTTTAGTTAATTTTTCAATTAATAATAGTGGATTTGTTGTATTAGTTTTTTAGTTAACAGAATTACTGGTATCGTGGTGGTTTACCAGATTGTCTTTGCTGTCCCAAAATAATACTAATTAAAATACAATCCAAGATGACAAAAATACATCGGATGATACAAATACACGCATCATCTAAATTCCCTATTTCTCTCTTTCTGCAGGTAGGTATCTCTCTGGGTTTATTTTTCGTAAATTCTTGAACAATAACAATAACAAAAACAAAAAGCTTCGAATTCACAACATTTGATTGATGATTCGATCAAATCAATTCAAGATTTCGATTCTTGTCTCTCTCATATTGTTCGTATTCTCCGAATTCACACCCCAAATCCAAACCATGAAGAAGATCCATCCCGTATCGATGAAGCGAAACATCGCAATCCGAGACGCCATGGAAACCCCATCGGAGACCAGTGCTCAGAAGAGGCTCCGGCGACTCCCTCACGTCTTCGGGAAGGTTCTCGAGCTTCCTTTCCGCTCCGACGCCGACGTGTCGGTGGAAGAGACCGATGATTTCTTCCGATTCGTCGCTCAGACCGACGAATCGATCGGGGACGATGTTAGGGCACACGCGGTGGAGATTCACCCCGGAGTGACGAAGATTGTGGTTAGAAACGGCGGTGGTGGTGACGTGGTGGAGTTGTTGTTGGGGGCGTTGGAGGTGGATGCGTGGAGGTTTAGGCTTCCGGCGATGACTCTGCCGGAGATGGCGAGCGCGGTGTTTGTTGACGGAGAGCTCATTGTGACGGTGCCGAAGAGCGGAAACTTCGCCGGAGGAGAGGGATTGGGAGGCGTGAGACGGCTCGTTCTTGTACAGTAATTGAATTTCTTGATAATTGAATTTCTTTCTTTTTATGGCCTCAAATGCTCGGTTTCAAAAATACAATTACTGTTCCAGCTCTGTTTTTGTTGTGATTGAATTGAGAAAATAAAAATGTCTTATTTTTCGGGCATTTTAAATTGGGTTATTGATTGAATTGAAACATAGCATTTTCAATTCTTGTTGTCTTACTAGCCTTAATTTCTTATTATGAGGAGATGAGTTGATGTTTGCTATTATCTTATATTTACAATTTTTGTTTCTATTCAGAAAACTTGTTTGATGAATTGTTTTTAAAAACTGTTTTCGGATTTTTTTTATAAAAAAAAAAAAACTCATTTTTAACTACTGGTCTTTTATGTTGTTTTGTTTTCGAAAACACGGAAAATGAAAACATTACCAAACATAATTGACAATTAACTCTTAACCATTTGAGTTAGATTTTGGTATGAGGGGGGTGAGGTACTTTATTGAACAATTGATGTTTCCTCAGTTGAAGTTTCACAGTTTTTCTATAATTCTTCGTCCCTTTAGAGGTTATTTTTACACTTCTATTTCAGAGTGATTTGGGCAATTTTGTTGTGTGTTTGTGAGTTTTTGGCATTTTTTTTTTTTTATTTTCCTTCAAATTCCTGGAAGTGTGATACGTGGCCTCTACGTTTGTTTCCTTCCATTTTGCTCCATTTGAAGGGAAAGAATGAATCAAAGGCTTGAATTTTGAAGATTTTGTTATTTGGGATGAATACATGAGTTAGAGGCTTTGGCAATTTTTATTGTTCTTATTTTCCTGCTTTGGATATTTTTTTATGGTCTGTTACTTTCATTCACACAGAGGACAAATTGGTTTTGTTTTCTTGTCTGCCTTTTCCTCTGCAGCCAAGTGATGTTTTTGAATGTGTTTGCTTGCTTTTGAACTTGAATGGCACATTGTGTTGTACAGAGTTACAAACTCATTTTTATGGATAGGCACTGAAAATGGCGGCTACCACCACCACACAGTTCATGAAAACCCGAAATTCGTACTCCACCATCATTTATGGTGACAGATGGTAGAGTTTGCAACGTCATATGAAGAAATTCCATTGTTAACTAGGATCTATATTTCTTCTACATTATTGAGATTAATTTGTATAGTATGTATTGAAGATGCAGTTGAAAGCATATTTTTCAGTTCTAATATCAAGTATATGTTCTATTGAGGATGTATAGAGAAGTAGTAGGAAGAAGTTTAGATAAATAATACAAAGTTCAGTTTTTGAGAAGTCCTCAGTGTTTAGGGGTTGTTTGGAGTGTCTTAAATAAGAGTATTTTTTGTCTTTTTTGATTAAAAAGTTGAGTAAAAAAATATGGATATTTGGGTTAACTTTTTTGACTTTTTATGAAAAAATGTGTATTAGAAAATTGTATAAATAAGTGTATAGGAGAAGTTAGTGATGGAATAGGCGGTACAGAGTGTAGGGGAGGAGTTGATTCTCTCCTTTTTGGGCATAAATTAGACGGTGGTGTTCGGCCCATGGGGGCCCACCACGGGTCCCGTTTTGCTAATCAAAACCGTTCAATGTATAAAACTCGTCGTGTGCTATATGCTTGTAAAAAATCACGTTAATCGGATATCGATAGCTATCTGATCGGATTAGTTTTTTTGGAACTGTTAACTATAATACCATCCATTTTTTTTGTACAAAACTGATTTGATCATATAGTTAGCGATATCCGATCAACGTGATTTTTTGTATGCATATAGTACTCAACGAGTTCTACATATTGACGGTTCAAATTATCAAAACGGGACCCGTGATGGGCCCCACGGGCCGAACAGCACAGTTCTTAATCTTGCCTCTGCCTGTGTAATTTATCCTCACTAATGTCAAGCACAGCCGCCTTCTGTCAGAGTGAATTGTCTCACAATTTGTATGAAAATAATTTTTTTTTATTTTTTTTGATGAGTAGGGACAACTTTTTAATTTTTTTTTTTTTAACTTTTTGATTTTCTTGTAAGTTGCCAAACCAGCCAAACTTAAGTTTGTACATCTTGATACACTTTTGTTTATCGTCTTCACACACGTGCTTCGTTGAGTTTTATCTATGGTTTGTTAGCCTCCATGACTTTCTGCTACCATACAGAAATCTATCTTGAATTCACTTTACTGCTGTTAGGTTAGTTTAGTTCTACTGTTCTTCGACTTGTTACTGTATTTGCTTGCTAAGACATGTTCAGAAGCCATTGATGAATGTTACATTGTTTGCTATACACTTCATTTTCTAGACTTTTTTATTTTTTTGTCAGTTAGTATTTTTTTAATTGCATCTGGAGAAACAGTTTTTTGATTCCAAAACTTTATGTATACTCGGACTATTGGAATAAGTCGTGTTCACCTTGTCTCAAGAATGAGAGATGGGTGCTTATAAAACTGCAACCAAGTCTGGATTAAAATTTAACAAGTTTTAGAATATATTTAAACTTAATTTGTGTATCTCTCAAGTCGATTTCAAATAAATTTTAATCAAGTTGAATACAAGTAACTTGTCAACTCGTTCAAATCTGGATAGCACATCCGAAGTTGATGGAAAAACAACAAAAATAAAAAAATAAAAAAACAAAAACAAAACATGTGATAAAAATTCGTCTTCTTCTTCTTGTTCTTTTTTTCTATCAAATGGGGAAAAGTTTTGGAAAACTGTATTCTAAAAAATTCCTCAAAAAGTTTATTTTAAAAACTTTCATGATTCAAAAATGCCAAATTCATAAAAGATTATATGGATCAATTGGTATTTTTTTCTTGAAATAAAAAATATAAACTTGTTTGGCTATAATTATTTTTGAGAAAAAATCTAACAAATTTTCTAAAAATTTATGTGTTTATTTTAAAATTTTATTGAGGTAAATTGTGCATAGAGTAAACACAAAGAGCTATTGTGAAATATCTTTAAAATTATAAAAACGCGAATAGCTGAGCGGAGACTTGATGAAAATAATTACTTCAACTGTCTCAAAATAGTAGTCTCTTTTAATTTTTATTGGTAGTACAAATATTACACTTTTAAAATATTAATTTTCAAAATTATCTTTTGAAAGTATATTTTTTTTAAAATATCAATTGTCATACTTGTACTTTTTAGAGTATTGTTAATAGATCTAAAAGAATGACAAAATAAAAAATTAATATTATTTTAATCCTTAATTTTTGAAAAGATACTAATATTTTGAGACAATAAAAATTACAATAAGAGACTAATATTTTAAGATAGATAAAATATATTTTTAAAATTTACCATTTTAATTTGTAAAACAAGAAAAAATAAATAACTTTAAAATGAAAAGATGATTGTTTTCTAAAACCTCCTGTGCTTTTTATTTTCAAAAACTTTAAAAGTGACAATTGACCACACAAACAATCAAAGAGATACCAAACAGGTCATTTCGTTGTCATTTTTTGAAATTTCAAAAAAGAGGGATAAGTTAAAAACAAAAGCAAAAGCGAAAAAACTGTTGAGAATGCCATGCACTGAAATGTTTAAATGTAAAGTTATGAACTGAGTTGATTATTATGGTTAATATTATCAATTTTAGTAGTTATGACATGATCTGGCAATGTGACAATATAATATTCACATATTGTTCTTTGGGTGAATTACAGTAATAGTCCCTGTAGTTTGGGACTTGTGTCACTTTGGTCCCTGACTTTTCAATTGTGACACATTTGATCTTGAATTTTGAATCTTGTCCAAATAAGGACAATTGAAAATATTATTAGATTTTTTGAGGGTAAAATCGTCAATTTGACAAAATATAAGCTAATTTGACAAAAATAAATCTCAAACAAATATTTTTGGATTTTTAAAAATTATTTATACCCACTAAAAATAAAATTATGTAAAATTGATAAATCTTTTAAACATTTATTTATTTTTTTTACCAAATTAATTTTTATTATGTGTTTAGATGATGATCATGTAAAATTAATTTTAAAAAATTAATCATGTAATTTTTATTAATTTTTATCAATTTAACATAATTTTATCATTGGTGGATAAAAATAATTTTTAAAAAATTAAAAATATTTTTTTGACATTTATTTTTGTCAAATTAGGTTATATTTTATTAAATTGACGATTTTGCCCTTGAAATTAAACAATGGTAACTTCAATTGTCCTTATTTGGAACAAGATTCAAAATTCGGGGTCAAATTTGTCACAACTGAAAAGTTAGGGACCAAAGTGACACAAGTCCCAAACTATAGGAACTATTTGTATAATTTGACCTTGTTCTTTTAAGTGTGCTCATATTATTTCTAAAAAATAATACTATATATATGTATGGGGAGCAAATATTCTGGCAAGCCCGTACTCCTTTCTTCCAAGCTCCTGCTTGTCCGATCGACCTGCGAGCACAACAGCGGTGAGCTACCGACAGTGTGTGGCCGAAAACCCCTCCGACGGTCAAGTTAGACACACACAGGGATAGAGAGAGAGAGAGAGGATCAAGTGTTTTGTGTAAATCTTACCAAATGTTCATCTGCCTCAACATGGGGGGCGCAGACATGTTTATATCCGTTTTGCCCCCCAAATCTACTCTCATTGGTCTCTCGACACGTGGTGCTGTTATCCCATCTGTCAGCACAAATCCAACTGGGCATCACCTACCTCAACTGCCAGCCCACTCTACTGGGAGCTTGGCAGTTGGGATGTAGCATCTCGGCTTCTTACGGCCATGCTGCACTTCACACCCGAATGCTCCAACAACCGAGCTTCGTGAAAGCCGAGCTTGAAGTAGGGCATGCCGGTTAACCAAAGGCCTTAATGCCGAGCCACAGGTACGCGCCTTCCAACCGAGCAACGCACGAACCGTGGAACACTGTGAGGCTGTCGACATCTCAGCCAAACCCTCACTTGACCGACTTTCGTACCAACAAGTCTGAGTAGCTCGGTTCCACACGCACTTTGCCATTACCGAGCAAAGATCCCTTCTAGGTAGGCCCAGGCTACCACGGCCCAAATGTGTTCGGCCCACCATTTGTCCGGCATCACCACGGCCCAATCCAGATCATAAATTTTTATTGGTAGTACAAATATTACACTTTTAAAATATTAATTTTCAAAATTATCTTTTGAAAGTACATTTTTTTTAAAATATCAATTGTCATACTT